CATCTGGCTTTTCTCTATTTTCTGCTTTACACATCTTTTTTTAAATACTGGACTATTAAAAAAACCCCAAATCCACACTATCTCCCCAATATCCCCATCAGATTAATCTACAGTCCAATTCCTTAAGAATTTTAGGCCAGAACGTCAACAATCCTACCTTTTTCTTGTAAGTTGGATTTACTTCAGTTTCTAGCGTGCTGCAGTCTACTTTGTACTATGGCCATTTACGCTAGAAGAGAAGCTCTTGCTTCCCTCATTTTCCTTAAGCAGCAGTCCTCCTTTACAAGCTCAAAGGATAGCTTTCACCAAAAGAGAAATTTGGTGAAAAAAATATGAACTTTCCCCATGCCTTTCTCACTGCTGCTCTTTGGCATCAGTACTTTATCGGTACTTTAATGATCACTTAATATGAGAGCAGTTAAGTAGCATTCCAATGGAAATTTGAATGCTTAATTCCCGAACTGTCTCGAAATCTGCATTGTCAAGAAACAAGATTAGGGATTCTCAAATGATACATCTCAAAGGCAACATATTGTGACAACCCCATGGGATTCTTGATGGGCTATCAAACCTCTTAACTCTTCAGATAATTAAAGGTCATGAGAAGGACATAAAAATTCATCTTATTTAGTTATGCCCTAACAAAAGTAATCATATAATTTAAGTTCAAACATTTGAATGAAGAGCATTAGAAACAACAACAACAACAAAAAAAAAAACATACAGACATGCTTAAGGGGAGGCCAAATTGTTTTATTTCAATTTTTCGTAACCAATTATATTTTTGGCAGAGAGCTCTGCTCTTTTCTTTTTTTCCCTTTAAAGAAATCAGCAGTGCTCAAGTTGATGGGTTGGAATTTTACTCAAATTCCAGGTAATTTTACAACAAACAGATGACCAGGAATTCCAGACACTGTTTCCAGAGCAGAGAGCAAAAGTTCACATTTGCATGAAAATTCCATGTTTATACTTGATTGGGCCACAGAATGTAAAATTATTATCAGTAGTGCATGAATAAACCATTCACATTTGATCTAGAACCTTAATACCAGAAAGCTGTACTCTCCTTTCAAAACTTCAACACCTTGTGCAAATCAAGTCAAGTCTTCATGTGCCAAGCACACATTTAAAATTGTCCATATTTTATATACAAGACATCTACCATTCAGGCAGTGCAAAATACATCCTTTCATAACAAAACTAAAATGTACCTCTCGAAGTATGAACAAGAATATACACATAATACATGATGTACACTATTTACACAACCATAAAAAATATAATACAAGTTTTTTTTTTTTTTTAAATGTGATTATAAGACTTGACAGTCTTTTGCAATTCATGTTGCAACAAGGCATGTTTGAGTTTCCTGGATGGACTTTTCTTTGCTACTACCCAGAGATCTCGGAAACTATGTTTGAACTTTTAGGAGAGTTTTCAAGTGGACTGCCATCAGCTCCCTGTTTTGGTCAGAAGGTTCAGCACTGCCACCCACCCAGTGGCTGGGAGGCTTTGGAAGGACACTAGGAGATGGTGGGTCACTAAATTTTGCCCCAGCATAGTTTTCTTTTTGGCTTGCTTCAGTTAGGGTGATAGGTTTCTTGGACTTTGCATTTCTGAAGTTCTCTGTGTTTTTAAGTGGCTTTTTCTCCTGCTTTTGAATTATTTCGGGCGACACAGTATCTTGCCAGAAGTTCTCTATTTTTTTTGCAGAGGTGATCTTTGTTAGTGGCATGTTACATTTACTCTTCTGCCTGTTAATCTTTGGTTGTTCACACAGATGTATACCGTGAACAGGCTGGCTGTGGGGGGCGGCAGCCTTCTCAGCCTTTCCCATCTTGTTCTTTAAGAACTGCGGAGACAAAGAACTCACGTCAAGGCACGACCCCCCTCCTCAACAGGGGCCTCCGGCAGCGCTAAGGCACACGAGTGCCAGCGGGGGGGGGGCTCCGCCCGGGCTCGCACAGGCGTTCC